GCCCCGCTCCCGAACTGGCTGCCACACCCGCCAGCCTCTTCCGCACACCCCTGCAGCTTGACCCGCAGCAGGAGCAGCAGCTGTTCCAGCGCCTGGAAGAGGAATTCCTGGCCAATGCCCGCGCCCTCGAGGCTGCTGCCAGCGGGACCCCCGCCGGACCTGCCCCCGACCCGGCTCGGGCCCCGGATCCTCCGGCACCCGACTCGGCCTACTGTTCGTCCAGCTCTTCCTCTTCCTCGCTCAGCATCCTGGTTGGCAAGTGTGGGCAAGCGGGGGACTCCGGCCGGACAGCCAACGGGATGCCTGGGCTCCGCAACCAGGCCCTATCCAGCTCCTCCGACGAAGGCGGCCCTTGCGTTGGCATGGGGGCGCCCCTAGATGCACTTGGGAGCCCCCTGCCGGGCCCAGAACCCACAAGGACCTGGGCACGGGGCCGGATGGACACACAGCCAGACCGTAAACCCTCCCGCATCCCCACGCCTCGGGGCCCCCGCCGCCCGTCCGAACCCGCGGAGCTCGGGGCCTGGCAAGCCCTTCAGTCTGTCACCCCGAGAGATGAGCCAGATTCCTGAATGTGATGGATCAGTCCAGCTGCTCCCCAAATCCACTCCTTGTTATTTTCCTTTGTGGCCTTAACCTGCCCTTTGCATCAGGGAGCCCCCTACATACCAGACCTCACGGGACCAGACCCCTCGGGACCACGCGGCACAATGGGACCTCTGCTGTACATTCCGGTTGGGGGGGGATGAGCATTGCTATTTAATTACTAATATTATTGAATGCCTTAGAGGAGGCCGGCCCAGCCCGGTGTCCTGAGGACCAGCGGTTCAGCAGAGCCTCTGACAGTAAAGTTTTGCTCCAGCCACCTGTCTGTTTTTGGCCATTGCAACCCTCAATACAAGTTGGGATTCTGGTGTTCATTGCTATTATGGATTCATCCCTGGCACCTCTGACCTCCGGGGTCAAAGTTTCTAGTCAAACTCCCAGGTGCGCTTAAATTGTTTTTTATTACCTCGTGAGAGGCGTGGCTTAAAAAGAGCGTCCAAAGAAGCTCCAGGAGCAGTCTGAGTGCTTCTAATCACATTCATAGTCGAGTCTTTAATCAGTGGGGCAGCGACCCAATGAAGTCCCAGAAAAGACTGATCTTATCCAATGGGGCGTGGGTCTGGCTGGGTCCAATGAAGTTCAAAGAGAAGCCTGTTGCCTAGGAGACGGGGCGGGAACTCCGGTTGTCCAATCGGGGAGGAGATCGCGCTGTCCGCTCACATGAGGCTGCAGCGCGCCGGGTGCAGCGCCCCCTGCAGGCGCAGGGCCGGGTGCGCGGGGCGGGCACGCACCAGAGCGCAGCGCAGGAGCTCACGGAAGAGACGCAGCACGTGCCAGTTGTACTTGGCCGAGCACTCGAGGTAGCCGCAGCGCCATCCCCGGCGCACCAGGGCGGCCAGCGCACGCCGGGGTCCGAAGCGCAGGCGCTGCCGGTCCCGCTTGTTGCCAACCACCAGGATGGGAGCCTCGGGAGCGCCCGCCGGCCTAGGTAGTGGCCAGGATAGGGAACCGTGCGCGGGGCTGAGGACTCCGCCCCCACGAGGGTTCCCCACGCAGGCGCATTCCCTACTATGCCAGGGACCCACCCCCAACACACACCAGACTCGGGTGTGCCAGAGACCTCGTACAAACGAGACCTTTCCCCGGGCAAAGGCCTGAGCCAGAACCCCGCCCCCGACCCCAGACCCAGCCGACGACGGGGACCCAGCCTGCCGCCCCGCGCGCAGGCCCCGCCCGCCCGCAGCCCCGCGGCCGCCGCCCACCTGTTCTCCGCGATGCGCTGCCGCAGGGCCTTCACGTAATCGAAGCTGTCCGGGCTGCAGATGTCGTAGACCAGCACAAAAGCGTCCGTGTCCTGCAGGCTCCAGTCCTTAGGGTCCGGCCACTCCTGGGGGCGGAGGCCAGGGGATGCGGGAGTCTTCTTCCTGCTCCCTAACTCTCTGCTGGCGCGTGACGCCAAACCCCACAGTTCGCCCTCAGGCCTCGGTGAACCTACAGCCAGCCTCCTCTAAGCTCCGGGCCTCCACCTCCCGGCCGCCTGTCGGCCTTCAGCTCTCCTTCACCTCAGGGCCTCCCTTCGCTTCTCTCACCCCAATCTTCCTCTTCCCCAGCTCAGCTCCACCATCGCCGCCGCTTACGGCTGCCCGGCCAAGCCCCAGGCCTCAGCCCGCCGCCCGCAGCTGCGCACACCGAAGCCTCCGAGCACCTGCCGCGCTTCCCACCTGGAACGCTTTTACCACTTATTTTTACTTAAAACTCCACCTTTCCAGGTGCAGATCGACCGCCACCCCCTCCAGCCCGGGCTGTGCATCCTGCCCTGCCTTTTCCTCTCAGCACGGAGGTCTGCCCTGAACCTGGCACCGATCACTAGCCGAGTCTGCCCCAGGTTACAGCAATGAGGGACGATGCCCGGTCGAAACTACCCCCGAGTGTCTCGTCCCAGTTTCTCCCCCTACGGCTCCGTCCAGGGTCCCACACTCGCAGAGGCAGGCAAAGAAAAGAGGCGCAGCCGCGGGGCGGAGGAAACGCCCGCCACGGGCGAGATCGCCCTGCGTGGGACGCCCGCGGGCTCCGACACGCGCCGCGAGACGCACAGCCAGCCGTCCGTCGGTCCGTCCC